CAACTTAGCCCAAAGTGAACCCCTATTCCAAGTGAAAAATTCACCGGTGGAAGGAGTGTCAATAAGGTTTGCATTAAGCTTGAAGTCAACTAAGTCTTGTAAGTAATAAGCCGAGGGTGGTGTGGGGCCAATCCTTTCACTAGGGGAAGAAACACAATTGAAATCCCCCATAACTAGCCAAGGACTACTTATGGTAGATCCCAAATTGGTAACGTGATCCCAAAGGGTTCTCCTCACCCCCACCGAGTACAAGGCATAAACAAAAGTAACCATAAAATTCAATTGTGTAGTCTTACACACACATTTGCAATGAATATGTTGTTTGTCAATTTCAAGCACATCTATTTCAACATAGTTCGTATTCCACATAAGGGCCATGCGGCCACCATCTATAGTATCAAAATTTGTAATAGAAGACCATAGTGGCCATCTATTTTCCTTAAGTTTTTCAAAATTAGAAGTAGACATTTTAGTTTCAAGCAAACAACACATATGTACATTATGAGCACGAATAAAATTAAAGATAAGAGATTGTTTTGAGACCTTATTAAGGCCTCTTATGTTCCATGCCGTAATGATAATTAAACAATTTAGTTGGTTCCCCCATCATCCTTGATCCTCTTTTTCCTTCCTTGCCATGGCCTTTTCTTCCATGTGTTGCCTTGAAGGCCATTTTCGCTAAAATACCTACCAAGAAAAAGATGATGAATATTACGCATAAAGAAAGCACCAAAAGCATACCCGTCCTCTATTTGGATCACCCCAGGCAGCCCCTCTAGGCAAGATTTAGTGAATGTAATCCCCGGTGCATCCAAGTCATCGGTGATTGAGAGGCAATTATCAAGTCTCACAAGCTTTCCCCCCGGCTTCATGGTTAGTTCTAGCTCATTCATGTGGGCCATGTGAAGATTGGGAGGTTTCCCTTCAATGAAATCTACTTGAATGACCACATCATCATGGTAGCTATCTCGGATATCATTGATAATTCTTACTTCCAAATCAACATCCTCCTTCTCTTCCTTTGATGTCCCTTGCTCCTCTTCTTTGTTAGCCATGATTTTGTCAAGCTCATCCACTAGTTCTTCTTCTTTTTGTTCTTCCCTTTCAATGTTAGGTGTAGCCAAGATCAAGGCAAGGGGGTTTTCTTCTAAGATTGTGGCTTCCTCTTCAATGATCTCCCCCTCTTCTCTTTCCAAACTTTCTACCACGGGCTGGTCATGGCTGCTCTTGGTGGTCTCGGCCTTTGGATGCTCCTCATGATAACATCTATTCTTAGCTTTGATAGTATAGATTTGCCTTCTTTGTTCTTCTATTTGAAATGTAGTGTTTTTCCTTGGTTCTTGGGGGGGTACTTCTTCTCCTCTTTCTTTCCTTTCCAAGTCATGGAGTGTTTTACATGTGAAGGGGTGATGGCCGAACATCTTGCAATGAAAACAATAGTTTGGAAAGGTCTCATACACTACGCCTTGGCTATAGATCTCCCCGGATGGAAGTTTGACATCAAATTGGAGTGGAGGGGGCTTGGCCGCATCTACTTCAATTAGAACACGAGCATATGAAGATCTAGCTTTCTTCTGTGTCACCCTATCCGTAGCCAATGGTTTACCTATAACACCCCAAAATTTCCCACCCAAATAACTTGGAATTTTTTTTTTTATGACAGCTTTATTAGAATAATTTCAGCGGAAGTCTTTAACAATGGAAATTTAGAGTGTTACCGCCACACTTAGCAAAAACATGGCTAAGTGCACAGGCAAACAAAACAATGTACTTAGTAAAAATTAACGAGTGTGAAGTAAAGGTAACAAAGGTGGTCTAAAGCATATTCTTAAAAATAAATTCATAACATAAGTCTTGCTAGTATCTTCTAATGGGCGCTCTCAAGTCTCTAATCATGCACACCATCCACCGCAATGTCATCTGTAATTGTAGAGAAGGAACAGAAGAAAAACAAGACAAAAATTAGCTTATGCTAAGTAAGCCCCACCCAACCCCGTAAAATAATATAGTTTGAAGAAAATACTTTGGAAAATATCATTTACTTCTAATTGGAAAATAGTATGCCTTTCAGAAGAAATCATTCACTTGTTTAAAAAAAATGCTAAGGTATCTTTTAAGAAGTGAGCGAAACTCAAGATTCCTCGAGCTCAATGAGTCGTTGTTATTTACGACTCATCCCGGAATTCCGGCTCCCACCGACCACCTATTGGAAACTGAATGACTTCCTTAAGTGTGCACACCCCCTACAAGGGATTCCAAGCCCTCTGAGTAGTAAGTCGTAACGAGTAGTCCAGTAGTACGTACTCGCTACTTCAGGAAAGGATATACTCCCAATTAAGTGATTAGGAACTAGCTACTGTGACCACCAAAGGACTTTTAAAGTCCTCAAAGATGCCGGGATGTCTACCGGACAATAATCATTATTCAAATAATCCACATAATATCAAATCCACCAAAAAAAACAGTAGTAGCCCCTAACCACCCCCTCACAATTAACGGTCGTGAAGGAGACCGACACCACGGATTTCTCCCGTGATTCCCACATTTACAAAAATTAATTTCGATCTTCCTTTTCCAAAAATTCAATAAAGACAATCCCAAAAGATCCTTTTATTCTAAAACTTCTCATGGCCAACTTCGTATTTAAATTCATACATCACCAAACCTCATAATTTCATTTAATAGCAAGTATTTTCACATAGTCTCAAGTCATACATATAGCTTTACGAGGTAAAATAAGATTTTGGTTGACATGGAACTTACCTCAAACTCCAAGTTCTCCTAGTTAAGAATCCTACTTTGCTCCTCACTCAAATCACCTTCTATTATTAACATTTCAAAATCATTATCCATTCAAATTATAAATATTTCCTCTACCCTTTATTACTCCGTAATTATCAATAACAAATGATATATTGATTTAATTCAAACGAATATTAATTTAGTCCGATTATGTTGTGCTCATTTTATTAATCACCTTGTATGATTATATTCCATTTACGAGAATTCAGATATAGTCGTTCAAATAGGTCTAAAAAAAAACAGCCTATTTCACTTAATTTAAAACGGTTAACTAAAGTGACATGTTTAAAACTGAACGGTATAACTCATTACTAGTCTAATGTCAATACTCCAAGTTATTATAATCATTCTGTTTAATCTACTTTCATTACTATTATTATTATTATTATTATTATTATTATTATTATTATTATTTCCTTTGTTAGCGCAACAGCCACTCCAACCCAATAACATGATTATACTACGGAGTAAAATATAGCGTACGTACGGTTCGTTGTCAACCTGATGCCGGCGGATCGCAGGCAACATCGGGAGGTTCAGACGGCGGCGACCTCAGGCTAGCTACAGCGGGGACATCACTCTTGTTCAGCGGCACCACTTCTTCTTCGTGGATATTTTCCTCCGGCGTGGGAACCAGTCTGGCGGATCCTTTACTTCCGGCAAAATGGAGCTCCCTCTCCTTCTTTTGTTACAGCGTAGGTTAAGACACTCGTCCCTTCATCGTTCGTTGAATATGAATATTATGTATATCTCTAGTTCGCAGGTTGCTTATTCTCGTAGGTTGGAATCGAAGATGACGTATATATACACACGCAGGTATCACCTCGCCTTTATAACTCGTCCGTTACAAGCTTTAAAGTTGTATAATGATCGGTATTAAGTTGATCCGTTTGGTTTCTTGAAGCTGCTACGGTTAGAGTTCGGATTATTCTTATGCTTATTACTGTTTGATCGTGATTTATATATGTGTGAATAAATGAATGGAGCATTAAGTACTATGTATGTATGATGACATGATGTTCATGGCAGTATGCATATATGTTTAACATGTATAGTACGTGTTTATTGCCACATGCATGTGTCTTGCTTGATGTATGTGTAGTATATATGTATTATTAGGTATGTGGTCATGCGTATAGTGTATACGTAGTATATATGTATATATACCTGCAGCGATGTGTATGTATGTAATATGTATGAGTATTTTTTTTTTTGAATTTCATATATATGTATATATATCATATGTTATCGTATATAAAGTACGTAACGTAGTATATTAGTATGTACGTTATGCATGTGTTACGGATTCATCATGTAATACATGTATATATCATGTATGATATGTATGTAGTATGAGTACTATTATGTATCTGTCCGTTATGGACTTTGAGCTCGTACTACGTAACTTTTAGAATTAAGGTAATAATAACTCTTTATATTTTTGTTGAATAGTATCCGAAATGTATTTTTAACTTTCTACTCTTAAATTGTACACCACTTTTCAGGCTAGGACTTACAAAGAGTACTTTTAAAATATCGTTTGGCGTTTTTCAGTTTTCATCAAGTTATAATAAAATATTCATTTATTTCATTTTTATTATATCTGATTTACTTTTATTTTATCTTATTATTATACTTCTACTTTAAATTTTTAGGGTGTCACATTACCCACTCTAGAAGCCACGGCACTTAGGATATCCTCTCTCCAAGCCCTCATGGGCAGCCCATGAAATTTGACCCATATAGGCACTTTGAGGAATTCATCACTGTGTGTTGAGAAGTTATCATCAAGGACTTTCAAGTAGCACATTTTACCATAGATGGAATGAGGTCCATCTAGAAGGACTTGATCCCTATCCGCCTCCCTTTGGAACTTGAAGATAATCCATCCTTTGCTATGCGGTCTAGCTTTGCAAGGAACCCCCCATTTTTGGATCATAGCGTTGACTGCCCTAGGTCCGGGAAACACCCCTACAAATTAGCCAACCAAACAGTACCCCCATAGCTCCACCATGGAGGGAAGTGTGTAGTTAGAAAGGTCAACCATATCTCCGATAGGTGGGATGTAAGTAAGTTTCATTCCTTGGGATGGTTCCCTATTATTAGTAAATAAGGAGGACCATGGTTTAGGGGCAGCTTGGACAGTTTGTTTGGTGCCTTGAGAGGTAGAAGCATCTCCATTAGTACTCCATTTCTTGGTCCTATTTATGGCCTTAAGATAGACATCATCTTCACATGGTTCCTTTTCAACCTCAACGTTTTTTTCTTTTTCAATTGCCCTATCTTGCTCCAAATCCGAGGGTGTGGTCTCATTAATGGGTGTAGGAGTAACCACATTAATGGGGCTAACAACCCCCAAAGGTTGGTCATCAAACCCCCCTCCAAAACAGCCTCCAAAACAGCCTCCACACTAGCATTTGTAGTCTTCACTATCTCGGCCAAACAGCCCTCATTTTGCACAATTTCTTCATTAATGGATTGGTGAGGGACCTCTTTAATGTTTCCAACAGCCAAAATACCTATTTCATTCTGTAATACAGACCCCCCACCAACTTTTTCCAACGCTAATACATCATCATTTTCGCACACAATATTGGTGTCCAAAGAAGTTACCTTTATGTTGTTGTTTGTGTTGTCATTTGCCACATCTTGGGTAGGTGGTTGCTTAGTGTTGCTGGCCCCCTTGTTTTTGGTATTTTCTGGCATCAACTCACTGGTAACCTCCTCGTCTCCTTCGGTAGAGGATATGTTCTTCTCCATTTCATCCAACATCTTAGCTTCCATGTGTTGAGCTTGGAGTTTCTTAACTGACTTCAATTTGTTTTTCCCGGTCATAGGAGCGATGGGAGACACTGCCTTGGCAAGATTCCGAGTGTTGACCATAGCTAGGAGGTGTGTCCCAAGCTATCCAAGGTCAAGGTGAGCACAAAACGCCTCCAAGAGGTAATAATTCCAAATTATGGACTTTGAGCTCGTACTACGTAACTTTTAGAATTAAGGTAATAATAACTCTTTATATTTTTGTTGAATAGTATCCGAAATGTATTTTTAACTTTCTACTCTTAAATTGTACACCACTTTTCAGGCTAGGACTTACAAAGAGTACTTTTAAAATATCGTTTGGCGTTTTTCAGTTTTCATCAAGTTATAATAAAATATTCATTTATTTCATTTTTATTATATCTGATTTACTTTTATTTTATCTTATTATTATACTTCTACTTTAAATTTTTAGGGTGTCACATTCTATCCTCCTTAAAGAATGCTTCGTCCTCGAAGCATAAGCTACAACTATTTTATTAACTCTGGCGTTATAATATATCCTCTTTTAAGAGATGCTTAGTCCTGAAGCTTAAACTAAAGTCAAATGACAAAATTCCAAGGTATTACATTCTACCCCCCCTAAAAGAGAGGTTACGTCCCCGTAACTAAAACATTACCTTGACTAAATAGCTCAGGATAACGTTTTCTCATGTCATCCTCTGTCTCCCATGTGGCATTTTCAGCCAAGTGATTTGACCACAAAACTTTGACCATTTGAATGACCTTCCTCCGAGTTTCACGTGTCTTCGTGTCTAAGATTTTCACAGGCCGTTCCTCATACGTCAAGGTTTCGTCCAATTCAATCACCTAATTCCATAAAGGGTTATTTCAATGTCTACTAAATCACATCCTAGCTATTTAAAAGCGGGGTTCTTACCTCCGGGTTTAAGATGTGTGCCTCGTCACGGACATACTTTTTCAAATGAGATATATGGAATACGTCGTGTACCTTGCACACGTTAAAATGTTTCAGCTTCGTTTCCTAACTTAGAAATATGTTTAGAAAGAACAGATTTAATCCTTACCTTACTCAATTCTGTGGGTAGAGCCAATCTGTAAACCACTCTTCCCACCTTCTCTAGAATCTCGTAAGGTCCGATGAATCGAGGACTCAGCTTGCCCTTCTTCCCGAATCTCATAACGCCTTTAGTAGGAGAGACCTTGAGAAGTACTTTCTCTCCCACCTCGAATTCAGCTGGTTTCCTTCCTAGGTCCGCATATGATTTTTGTCTATCTTGCGCTGCCTTCATCCTTGCCTGGATGAGTTTGATTTTCTCTATCGTGTCTTGCAAGAATTGCGGGCCTAAGACAACCTGGTCTACCATATCGCCCCAACACAATGGACTTCGACACTTTTGACCGTATAGAGCCTCGTACGGAGCCATCTTAATGCTCGCATGGTAACTGTTATTGTACGAGAACTCTATTAGGTCTAAGTGTTCATCCCATGATCCTTGCAAGTCCAGCACGCAGGCTCTCAGCATATCCTCAAGCGTCTGAATAGTCCTTTCGGTCTGACCGTCCGTAGTAGGATGGAATGCAGTGCTCAACTTCAAAGTGGTCCCCATAGCAGCTTGAAGTTCCCTCCAGAATTGAGATAGGAATCTGGAGTCTCTGTCAGATACAATATCTCGAGGTACGCCGTGATACTTCACCACATGCTTGATGTAGGCTTTCGCTAGCTTATCCATGCTCCAAGTTTCATTCATGGGAATGAACCTGGCGGTCTTGGTCAATCTATCAACAATCACCCAAATCTTATCTTTCCCGGACGTTGTTAAAGGTAAACCCCCGACAAAGTCCATCGAGATTGAGTCCCACTTCCACGTTGGCACCTCCAAGGGTTGCACGAGTCCCTTGGGCTTGCACCTCTCGGCTTTCACTTTTTGACAGTTTAAGCATCGTGCCACGAACTCCGCCACCTCAATTTTCATTCTCGGCCACCAGAAGTTTTGCTTCAAATCTTTATATAATTTGTCTCCTCCCGGGTGTACCGAATAGGGCGTGTTGTGTCCTTCTTCCATGATTTGCTTTTTAATGTGCTCACACTTTATCGGGACACACCACCTACCCTTATAGCGGATACTCCCATCTTCATGCAGTTGAAACGGTCCGTTTACCCCGTTCTTCATCCCAGCCTTGACTCGTTCAAGCTTCACGTCTCCTGGTTGACCAGTCTTTATTTCATCAAAGATAGAGGGTAAAATGGTCATAGTGTATAACTGGATCTCACCCTCTACTTCACCATGCTCCTTGACTTCTAGGTCCAGCCTCTGAAATTCCCGGTACAACTCTTCTGATAGTATCCACGCTGCCCGACTCGTGTGTTCCGTTTTTCGACTCAAGGCATCAGCTACAACATTGGCTTTTCCCTCGTGATATAGGATCTCCAAGTCGTAGTCTTTCACAAGTTCTAGCCACCTCCTCTGCCTCATGTTGAGTTCTTTCTGCGTAAATATGTATTTTAAGCTCTTGTGGTCCGTGAATATCTTGCATGGTGGTCCATACAAGTAGTGCCTCCAAATCTTCAAGGCAAACACCACCGCAGCTAACTCCAGGTCATGGGTTGGATAGTTAACTTCGTGCACCCTTAGTTGTCGTGATGCATAAGCTACGACCTTCCCGTTCTGCATCAGTACACAGCCCAGTCCATTCTTGGATGCATCGCAATAGATTTCAAATCCATCAATTCACGATGGAAGTGTCAGTACCAGTGCAGTCGTCAGTCTTTTCTTAAGCTCTTGGAAGGCTTTCTCACAATCATCTGTCCACTGGAACTTTGTGGTCTTCTTCATCAAATTGGTTAATGGTCTAGCTATCTTGGAGAAGTCTTTTACAAATCTCCGATAGTAGCCCGCCAACCCAAGGAAACTCCGCACTTCTGTAACAGTGGTAGGTGCTCGCCACTCAGTTACTGCTTCGATCTTCGACGGGTCCACAGATACTCCATCTCGAGTGATGATGTGACCCAGAAATGCTACTCGGTCTTTCCAAAAGTCACACTTGGAAAGTTTGGCGTAAAGCTGATGTTCTCTCAAAGTCTGCAGAACGAGCCTCAGATGCTCTTCATGATCTTTCTCGTTCTTCGAGTATACCAAGATATCATCAATGAATACCACCACAAATGTATCAAGATAGGGGCGAAATACACGGTTCATTAGGTCCATGAACACCGCTGGTGCGTTGGTTAAACCGAACGGCATTACAGTGAACTCATAGTGCCCATATCTCGTACGGAATGCAGTCTTCGGTATATCCCTCTCCGCTATCCTCACTTGATGGTAGCCGGATCGAAGGTCAATCTTGGAAAATATACCCGCCCCCTTCAATTGATCGAACAGGTCATCGATGCAGGGTAGAGGGTATCAGTTCTTGATGGTAACACGGTTTAGCTCTCGGTAGTCAATGCACAACCTCAAGCTACCGTCCTTCTTTTTCACAAACAAGACCGGAGCGCCCCAAGGTGAAACGCTCGGCTTGATGTAGCCCTTCTCGAGCAATTCATGTAGTTGTTCCTTCAGTTCTTGCATCTCCTTTGGAGCCATCCTGTACGGTGCCTTGGAAATCGGGGTAGTCCCCGGCATCAAGTCAATGGAGAACTCAACCTCCCTTTCCGGAGGCATCCCCGGAATCTCTTCTGGGAACACATCAGGAAATTCATTGATCACAGGGATCTGACCAGTCGTCTGCTCCTCATTGTGTGTCTCCTTCATCATGCATAGGTATGCCTCGCATCCTTTCCGGGTGTACCTCCTCATTTGCCGCATTGTCATCAGCTTGACACCTGGTTTGTTCACAACTTCCTTGAACGATACCCGTTTCCCACTCGGGCTCTTCATGATCACCTTCTGCTCGTTACATAAGATCTTCGCCTTGTAGCTCCCGAGCCAATCCATGCCCAACACCACGTCAATGTCTTCAAGGTCAAATTGCACCAAGTCTCCAGGTAGATTTACATTATCTATGACTATAGGTACATTCATGTATACATTGCTACAAGCTACCACTCTATTGTTTGTTGTTTTTACATTCAACTCTATGCTAGCTACAGGTTCTATCTTTAACTTCTCAACAAATTTTGAAGAGATAAAACTGTGAGAAGCACCAGAATCAAATAGAACATAAGCAGGAATGTTATTAACATGAATGGTACCTGAAACCACGTCATGGGCCCTGGCTTGTGCCTGGTTCATCACGTAAATGCGGCCTTGGTTAGGAGCATTGTTGTTTCGGTTGTTATTGTGGTTGCCCCCACCTTGGTTCTGGTTCTGGATTCGGTTGGTGTTCCCATTCCGATTTCCTTGGTTCTGGTTGTCACGGTTGTCTCCATTTCCAGCTTGGTTTCCCCTTCCTTGGTTGGGCCCTTGGTTAGGCGGCACCTCTATTTTGTTTTGATTACACTCGAATGCTCTATGCCCGAGTTTGTTACAATTAAAACACGTTGCTAAGTTCCCGTCACAGTTCCTTCCAGGATGGTCTTTGCCACATCTTTTGCAATAGTAATGCCTCTCCCCCCGAGCATCCCTTCTCTGATTCTGCCCCTGAAAATTTCTCTCTCCTTGGTTATGATTATCTCTCTTCCATGCTGGTCGTTGCCCGGAGTGATTGAGCTTGCTCCTCTTCTCATTTTGTTGATTCTCTTCCTCAGCACTTCTTCGGTTCTTCTTGTGGGCTTCCCTTTGGAGTTGAACCACCCGATAGTGTTTTGCAGCTCTATAATAGGTATCATCCAGTGTGTGGCATTCTTGCACACTCAGAGCCTTTTGAGTATCGTAGTTAAGTCCTCGGATGAACTTCTCAACCTTGCTCTCCTCATCAGGTACTAGTGATGATGCAAAGTCCGCTAGTGTCACAAATTTAGTGTGATACTCTTGCACTGTCATTTCCCCTTGCTTTAGATGCAGAAACTTGTCATAATTTTCTGCCTGCACGTGTGGCGGGTAAAACCGCTTTCGTAGCGTCCGCTTAAACCGCTCCCAGGTGAAATCGGGTTGTGCGCGCAATCCTGGTCCCGCATTCATCCACCATTTATCTGCTTCTTCATGCAAATAATAAACAGCAATGCCAATTCGTTGCTCTTCCGGGCAATTGATTGCGTCAAACAGCTTATCAAATGTGCGTATCCAATTCTCGAGAATGATTGGGTCTTCTTGCCCAAGAAAGCTCGGTGGATTTCGCGCCGCTACACGGGTCTCCATGTCGTTGCCGTTATTACGCGGCTGGTTGTTTTGGAGTACCGTAGTTGCAATAGTATGAGTGAGTTGACTCAGTAGGTGAACAGTCTGAGCCAATTCCGCGTTAGTGGGCACAGCATTCGGGTCTCTTCTTGGCGGCATGGTGTCTCAACTCCATGAGATAACAAATACTTAGTATTAGTAAGAAGTTTTCCCTACCTTCCCTAGGGATCCTAGAATAAAGGGTTTCATAGGCTATATAGCTCACAAAAATGCATGCAATCACACTACAAATTCATAGTTTACATAGGAACATTTTTGCACATAGTGTTTGTACATACCTTGGTCACTTTAAAATTTTGCCTTATTAGGCATTCCCTTTAACATTTGCGGTTCCCATATGGGCCCACAATCATCACAATTATTAACACATACATGTAAGGAAAATAATAATGCTCACAAGGTCCTCACCACGTTCCTAGGAGGTCATTTCCTAGCTAATTTATTTATTTTTTTACAAAAATATTTTTTTTTTGTTTTTTTTTTTTGAAAATCCCCATTTTTGAAGGTATGCTCTCCAAAGTTTTCTTCCAGGATTTCGAACAACAAGGTTTCAGCACAAGGAGAAATTCCCAGCTAGTTGGACGAGCGCAAAGGCTCAATTATGCACCAACCAGCTTAGACTGTTATCGTCTTTGTGACAGAATTCCTCCCTACGACCTATTTCCTCGTGTTCTCATACCTTCGGAAAACTAAGGGCTCTGATACCAACTTATAACACCCCAAAATTTCCCACCCAAATAACTTGGATTTTTTTTTTTTATGACAGCTTTATTAGAATAATTTCAGCGGAAGTCTTTAACAATGGAAATTTAGAGTGTTACCGCCACACTTAGCAAAAACATGGCTAAGTGCACAGGCAAACAAAACAATGTACTTAGTAAAAATTAACGAGTGTGAAGTAAAGGTAACAAAGGTGGTCTAAAGCATATTCTTAAAAATAAATTCATAACATAAGTCTTGCTAGTATCTTCTAATGGGCGCTCTCAAGTCTCTAATCATGCACACCATCCACCGCAATGTCATCTGTAATTGTAGAGAAGGAACAGAAGAAAAACAAGACAAAAATTAGCTTATGCTAAGTAAGCCCCACCCAACCCCGTAAAATAATATAGTTTGAAGAAAATACTTTGGAAAATATCATTTACTTCTAATTGGAAAATAGTATGCCTTTCAGAAGAAATCATTCACTTGTTTAAAAAAAATGCTAAGGTATCTTTTAAGAAGTGAGCGAAACTCAAGATTCCTCGAGCTCAATGAGTCGTTGTTATTTACGACTCATCCCGGAATTCCGGCTCCCACCGACCACCTATTGGAAACTGAATGACTTCCTTAAGTGTGCACACCCCCTACAAGGGATTCCAAGCCCTCTGAGTAGTAAGTCGTAACGAGTAGTCCAGTAGTACGTACTCGCTACTTCAGGAAAGGATATACTCCCAATTAAGTGATTAGGAACTAGCTACTGTGACCACCAAAGGACTTTTAAAGTCCTCAAAGATGCCGGGATGTCTACCGGACAATAATCATTATTCAAATAATCCACATAATATCAAATCCACCAAAAAAAACAGTAGTAGCCCCTAACCACCCCCTCACAATTAACGGTCGTGAAGGAGACCGACACCACGGATTTCTCCCGTGATGCCCACATTTACAAAAATTAATTTCGATCTTCCTTTTCCAAAAATTCAATAAAGACAATCCCAAAAGATCCTTTTATTCTAAAACTTCTCATGGCCAACTTCGTATTTAAATTCATACATCACCAAACCTCATAATTTCATTTAATAGCAAGTATTTTCACATAGTCTCAAGTCATACATATAGCTTTACGAGGTAAAATAAGATTTTGGTTGACATGGAACTTACCTCAAACTCCAAGTTCTCCTAGTTAAGAATCCTACTTTGCTCCTCACTCAAATCACCTTCTATTATTAACATTTCAAAATCATTATCCATTCAAATTATAAATATTTCCTCTACCCTTTATTACTCCGTAATTATCAATAACAAATGATATATTGATTTAATTCAAACGAATATTAATTTAGTCCGATTATGTTGTGCTCATTTTATTAATCACCTTGTATGATTATATTCCATTTACGAGAATTCAGATATAGTCGTTCAAATAGGTCTAAAAAAAAACAGCCTATTTCACTTAATTTAAAACGGTTAACTAAAGTGACATGTTTAAAACTGAACGGTATAACTCATTACTAGTCTAATGTCAATACTCCAAGTTATTATAATCATTCTGTTTAATCTACTTTCATTACTATTATTATTATTATTATTATTATTATTATTATTATTATTATTATTATTATTATTATTATTATTATTTCCTTTGTTAGCGCAACAGCCACTCCAACCCAATAACATGATTATACTACGGAGTAAAATATAGCGTACGTACGGTTCGTTGTCAACCTGATGCCGGCGGATCGCAGGCAACATCGGGAGGTTCAGACGGCGGCGACCTCAGGCTAGCTACAGCGGGGACATCACTCTTGTTCAGCGGCACCACTTCTTCTTCGTGGATATTTTCCTCCGGCGTGGGAACCAGTCTGGCGGATCCTTTACTTCCGGCAAAACGGAGCTCCCTCTCCTTCTTTTGTTACAGCGTAGGTTAAGACACTCGTCCCTTCATCGTTCGTTGAATATGAATATTATGTATATCTCTAGTTCGCAGGTTGCTTATTCTCGTAGGTTGGAATCGAAGATGACGTATATATACACACGCAGGTATCACCTCGCCTTTATAACTCGTCCGTTACAAGCTTTAAAGTTGTATAATGATCGGTATTAAGTTGATCCGTTTGGTTTCTTGAAGCTGCTACGGTTAGAGTTCGGATTATTCTTATGCTTATTACTGTTTGATCGTGATTTATATATGTGTGAATAAATGAATGGAGCATTAAGTACTATGTATGTATGATGACATGATGTTCATGGCAGTATGCATATATGTTTAACATGTATAGTACGTGTTTATTGCCACATGCATGTGTCTTGCTTGATGTATGTGTAGTATATATGTATTATTAGGTATGTGGTCATGCGTATAGTGTATACGTAGTATATATGTATATATACCTGCAGCGATGTGTATGTATGTAATATGTATGAGTATTTTTTTTTTTGAATTTCATATATATGTATATATATCATATGTTATCGTATATAAAGTACGTAACGTAGTATATTAGTATGTACGTTATGCATGTGTTACGGATTCATCATGTAATACATGTATATATCATGTATGATATGTATGTAGTATGAGTACTATTATGTATCTGTCCGTTATGGACTTTGAGCTCGTACTACGTAACTTTTAGAATTAAGGTAATAATAACTCTTTATATTTTTGTTGAATAGTATCCGAAATGTATTTTTAACTTTCTACTCTTAAATTGTACACCACTTTTCAGGCTAGGACTTACAAAGAGTACTTTTAAAATATCGTTTGGCGTTTTTCAGTTTTCATCAAGTTATAATAAAATATTCATTTATTTCATTTTTATTATATCTGATTTACTTTTATTTTATCTTATTATTATACTTCTACTTTAAATTTTTAGGGTGTCACATTACCCACTCTAGAAGCCACGGCACTTAGGATATCCTCTCTCCAAGCCCTCATGGGCAGCCCATGAAATTTGACCCATATAGGCACTTTGAGGAATTCATCACTGTGTGTTGAGAAGTTATCATCAAGGACTTTCAAGTAGCACATTTTACCATAGATGGAATGAGGTCCATCTAGAAGGACTTGATCCCTATCCGCCTCCCTTTGGAACTTGAAGATAATCCATCCTTTGCTATGCGGTCTAGCTTTGCAAGGAACCCCCCATTTTTGGATCATAGCGTTGACTGCCCTAGGTCCGGGAAACACCCCTACAAATTAGCCAACCAAACAGTACCCCCATAGCTCCACCATGGAGGGAAGTGTGTAGTTAGAAAGGTCAACCATATCTCCGATAGGTGGGATGTAAGTAAGTTTCATTCCTTGGGATGGTTCCCTATTATTAGTAAATAAGGAGGACCATGGTTTAGGGGCAGCTTGGACAGTTTGTTTGGTGCCTTGAGAGGTAGAAGCATCTCCATTAGTACTCCATTTCTTGGTCCTATTTATGGCCTTAAGATAGACATCATCTTCACATGGTTCCTTTTCAACCTCAACGTTTTTTTCTTTTTCAATTGCCCTATCTTGCTCCAAATCCGAGGGTGTGGTCTCATTAATGGGTGTAGGAGTAACCACATTAATGGGGCTAACAACCCCCAAAGGTTGGTCATCAAACCCCCCTCCAAAACAGCCTCCAAAACAGCCTCCACACTAGCATTTGTAGTCTTCACTATCTCGGCCAAACAGCCCTCATTTTGCACAATTTCTTCATTAATGGATTGGTGAGGGACCTCTTTAATGTTTCCAACAGCCAAAATACCTATTTCATTCTGTAATACAGACCCCCCACCAACTTTTTCCAACGCTAATACATCATCATTTTCGCACACAATATTGGTGTCCAAAGAAGTTACCTTTATGTTGTTGTTTGTGTTGTCATTTGCCACATCTTGGGTAGGTGGTTGCTTAGTGTTGCTGGCCCCCTTGTTTTTGGTATTTTCTGGCATCAACTCACTGGTAACCTCCTCGTCTCCTTCGGTAGAGGATATGTTCTTCTCCATTTCATCCAACATCTTAGCTTCCATGTGTTGAGCTTGGAGTTTCTTAACTGACTTCAATTTGTTTTTCCCGGTCATAGGAGCGATGGGAGACACTGCCTTGGCAAGATTCCGAGTGTTGACCATAGCTAGGAGGTGTGTCCCAAGCTATCCAAGGTCAAGGTGAGCACAAAACGCCTCCAAGAGTCCTTCAAAGACCAAGTTTGTTTTCTTCTTTTCTTCTTTGAGCTTGTTGTCCGTACTAATGGAGTAAATGTCCGTACAAACGGTCACAAAGTTGATTGTACGGATAGGGGGATGAAGCTAAGATTAGAGTATGTGGTGCGCCAAGGAGAGGCGATTCTCACCCCATATCCAGAATCATCTTAGCTCAAAAGGAGGCTTTGGGATCTAAGAAAGAGTTTTTCGTGTATGAATAGTGTTTGTGCGAAAAATGTTGCTCCAGCCCTCCAAAGACTTCAGGTTTTGAGCTAAAAAATTAAAGATAATACACCCCTAAGGGAAGGAAGATGTATTACAGTTAATGTTCGAGCTCAAACACCCAAAAATCCAAGGAAGAAAACAAGAACGAACAAAAAACGCAATGGGGAAGAAGAAGTGTACGGATTTCGTAGAGAGAAGCTGGAGCTAACGGAAAAAAATCAAGCTTTCTTAGGCCAGGCGCTGGTTTCTCAGGCGCTGGTTTCAAAATATCAAGGGAGGATTGCCTAATTACTAAAATACACTTTATTTACGCTAAAAGTGCTCTATTTTCGCTGAAAACACTAAATCATAGAGATAAGGCTAAGTATTTGTGACACTCATATCTTGTTGTGTGTTTATCCGTTTGGAGCGTAATATATCTCGTTGGAAAGATAGATCGGAGCTCTAAAACTATTGTTCCAACTTCATTTACAATGCATTAATTTAAAGTTACAGATTAACGATATATTCACAAATGTTTCTGATTTCACTCCGAACTCGTGTAGAATTTGATGCGATCATATCTAGCACTATTTTGTGCCGTTGAAAGCATTTAATATCTCGTTGGAAAGATCTTACCGAGTTCTAAAACTTGTCTTCAGGCGCTGGTTTCAATTTTTTTGGATGAAATGTAAGTATATATAAAAGTCACCCAAAAATAACATTATACAATGTATCACACGAAATCAACAAAGGCTATCTAAGTTAGATAAATCTAACCTAAACATAATGCATCATCAAATAATGGGGCATCCCCCATGTCCACCAAATCAGGGTAATAAAAACAACCATAAGAAATACCCACCAGTGGGATCTGTATCAAATTAGCCTAAACCTATTTGAACAGGCTCAGCTTCCATCTTTTTCTTCTTCTTCCTATATTGTGTAATTTTTTCCCAGTAGTCATCAAGAATTTTCTGTTCCTCTTCATCCCTTGGCTCATCATCCGATTCCTCATCTTCTGTGTCCTCTTCCCCCTCTGATTCAGTCATGGCAGCCGATACATTCTTATCATCACCTTTGGAAGACCCTTGGGCAGTCGGCTCTGACCTTGCATCTCCCTGATTAGTGTGCAAATCTGTGGCACCAACTCCCGGCTCAATTGTTGCATGTTCCGGCTCAATTGCACGAGCTGGTTCCGGCTGAATTGCAGCAGCAGGTTCCGGCTGAATTACACCAGCAGGTTCCGGTGCAGCAGTTTCAGGCGCAGCAGGAGCAGGTTCCTTAAAAACAGCAGCATCAGGTTCCTTTAAAACCTTGCAAATAAATGGGTGGTGCCCATATTCTTTGCAATGGAAACAGTAGTTAGGAAAGGTCTCATAAACCACATATTGCTTGACTACTTTGCGGGAAGGTAGTCGAATAGGAAAAGATAGCGGCGGTGGTTTAGAGACATCAACCTCAATCAGCACCCTAGCATAGGAATGATTGCTCCTATCTTGAGTTACTTTATCCGTAGATAATGGAACCCCAACCATGGAAGCAACCTCACTCATCGCATCTTCATTCCAAAGTTTCATATGTAAATTTGGAAATTTTACCCAAATCGGGACCTTAAGGAACTCATCATCATCAAAAGAAAAATCTTCGGAGAGTGTTTTCAGCATGAGTTGTATGCCAAAAATGGTATAAGGCCCCCCTTTCAACACTTTTTCTCTATCTTCGTCAGTATGAAATTTAAAAATAACCCACCCCCTATGATGGGTTTTAACAATGTAACTCACCCCCCATGTGTTCTTCAGGTCATATATAGCCTTAAGCCCGGGGTGTTTTCCGGTGAACATTCCAACTAGGCAAAACCCCCACATTTCAACCATGGAAGGAAATTTCCTATCAACGAAGTCTAGGGAGTTGCCTTTTGGCGGGATGTACCTCAATTTGAGACCATTTGAGGGGTCTCGATTGTCTTTGAACAGTGCATTCCAAGGCTTTACAGTGGGCATCATATAGTTTGCAGCAGGTTGGCTTTGAGCAGCAGGTTGGCTTTGAGCAGCAGGTTGGATTTCTGCCTGCCTGCCCTGCGCGATAACCCCTGCAGCCCCATTTGTTTTTTGGTTCTTCTCCAGTGAATTGGCATCAGTAGGTTCTGCCTGCTTAGCAACTGTGTGAGGAGCAAGCCCTTCTGTAGAGTAATCTGCCCCATTTTTTCCAGCACCTGCATCTTTCACGGTGGAATGAACTGTCCATGCTCCAGGAATCTGGATGTTAGGTGCTCCAGGGTTGCTGGAAGCAGTATTGTTCTCAGAAAATTTTGCAGCATTCGTTTGACTGAAGTCAGCTTTCTCAGTAGCATCGTTCCCTTTATTTTTAGCCATCGCAGCAGTTTTAACCATCACAGTCCCCTGTACGGTATTCCCATAGCTCAGGGAAGGAAAGTCATCCTCGATTCCGTCCAGGACAGCAAATCTAGGTGACGATCTGGTAACTCTCGTATTGGAAACCTCTCCAGCTACCTGTTTCTTCTTCGCCATTACTGGTACAGTAACCAGCAAACAGAGTTCGTTGTTCTTCGCAGGTGAACAGTACCTTCAACGAGCACTGTCCAGAAAAAGGCCCTAATTCGTTGTTCAAATCACAAATCCAGTGACGGAATTGAAATCAAAAGTCAAAAACGACCAAGAGAACACCCTGAGAGTGAAATCAAAGCCTCAAACATACACCTAACCTTCATCGTATTTGAATCGCAAATTTCCAGTACGGGTTTACGTTTTTTGGCCGTAATTCATGTTTCCAATTTCAAATCCAGGTGCAGAGTTGAAAGAAGAGGTGAAAATCGGCCAAGAAACTCGAAAATTGCTATCTTAATTGTGTATGTAGATGATTTCAGGCGCTGGTTTCAAAATATCAAGGGATGATTGCTTAGTTTCAAAAATACACAGTATTTCCGCTAAAAGTTCTCTATTTTCGCTGAAAACGCTAAATCTTAGAGATAAGGCTAAGTATTTGTGACACTCATATCTTCCTGTGTGTTTATCCATTTGGAGCATATTATATCTCGTTGGAAAGATAGACCGGGGCTCGAAAGCTATTGTTCCAACTTCATTTACAATGCATTAATTAAAAGTTACAGATTACCCATATATTCACAAATGTTTCTGATTTCACTCTGAACTCGTGTAGAAATTGATGCGATCATATCTTGCTCTATTTTGTGCCGTTGAAAGCGTTTAATATCTCGTTGGAAAGATCTTAATGAGTTACAAAACTTGTCTTTAGGCGCTGGTTTCAAAATATCAAGGGATGACTGCCTAATTACTAAAATACACTGTATTAATTAAAAGTTACAGATTAACCATATATTCACAAATGTTTTTGATTTCGCTCTGAACTCGTGTAGAATTTGATGCGATCATATCTTGCTCTATTTTGTGCCGTTGAAAGCGTTTAATATCTCGTTGGAAAGATCTTACCGAGTTCTAAAACTTGTCTTCAGGCGCTGGTTTCAAAATATCAAGGGATGATTGCCTAATTACTAAAATACACTTTATTTACGCTAAACGTGCTCTATTTTCGCTGAAAACGCTAAATCATAGAGATAAGCCTAAGTATTTGTGACACTCATATCTTGTTGTGTGTTTATCCGTTTGGAGCGTAATATATCTCGTTGGAAAGATAGATCGGAGCTCTAAAACTATTGTTCCAACTTCATTTACAATGCATTAATTAAAAGTTACAGAATAACGATATATTCACAAATGTTTCTGATTTCACTCCGAACTCGTGTAGAATTTGATGCGATCATATCTAGCTCTATTTTGTGCCGTTCAAAGCGTTTAATATCTCGTTGGAAATATCATACCGAGTTCTAAAACTTGTCTTCAGGCGCTGGTTTCAAAATATCAAGGGATGATTGCCTAATTACTAAAATACACTGTATTTACGCTAAAAGTGCTCTATTTTCGCTGAAAACGCTAAATCTTAGAGATAAGGCTAGGTATTTGTGACACTCATATCTTTCTGTGTGTTTCTCCATTTGGAGCGTATTATATCTCGTTGGAAAGATAGATCGGGGCTCGAAAGCTATTGTTCCAACTTCATTTACAATGCATTAATTAAAAGTTACAGATTAACCATATATTCACAAATGTTTCTGATTTCACTCTGAACTCTTGTAGAATTTGATGCGATCATATCTTGCTCTATTTTGTGCCGTTGAAATCGTTTAATATCTCGTTGGAAAGATCTTAATGAGTTCTAAAACTTGTCTTCAGGCGCTGATTTCAAAATATCAAGGGATGACTGCCTAATTACTAAAATACACTGTATTTACGCTAAAAATGCTTTATTTTCTCTGAAAACGGTAAATCATAGAGATAAGGCTAAGTATTTCTGACACTCGTATCTTGCTGTGTGTTTATCCATTTGGAGCTTATTATATCTCGTTGGAAAGATAGATCGGAGCTCTAAAGCTATTGTTCCAACTTCATTTACAATGCATTAATTAAAAGTTACAGATTAACCATATATTCACAAATGTTTCTGATTTCACTCCGAAGTCGTGTAGAATTTTATACGATCATATCTTGCTCTAATTTGTACCATTGAAAGCCTTTAATATCTCGTTGGAAAGATCTTACCGAGTTCTAAAACTTCTTCAGGCGCTGGTTTCAAAATTTCAAGGGATGATTGCCTAATTTCAAAAATACACAGTATTTACGCTAAAAGTGCTCTATTTTCGCTGAAAACGCTAAATCTTAGAGATAAGGCTAAGTATTTGTGACACTCATATCTTGCTGTGTGTTTATCCATTTGGAGCGTATTATATCTCGTTGGAAAGATAGATCGGGGCTCGAAAGCTATTGTTCCAACTTCATTTACAATGCATTAATTAAAAGTTACAGATTAACCATAT